ATATATATATATATAAAATAATGAGCAGAATAATCATATACATAATAACAAAAAGTCACATCTATATTATACTACATGAATAAAATTTGTTTTTTTCATAGATTTTAATTAAACTTATATGTGACTAAATATTTTACAATAAAAAATAAGATTAAAGAGTAATTAATAAAAAAAATCATCGGGTGTATAGACATATTTACTAATAAATTTGTATTCTATGTAAATTATTCCATGTAATTGCTAATATATTATGTATAATTTAATTTTGATCTATTCGACGAAACTTCAGTTAAATATTAAATAGATGAATTATCATTTTATTATTACAATATTAACACGAAGAATGATGCAAAAGGAATTGCAGCACTTCCAGTCATAATTTCGAAACGTCGAGCATTATTATACTCTCTGTACTAATAAGCATTATTATACTGTCCGTACTAATAAGTAAAATCCGTTATTAATAAAAGAAAAAGACGCGAATACATATTCCAAATTTGTAAATATTAAATCTAGGAAATTGTTCGCACAGACTTGTAAAAGAATGTCACAATAAGAGTTGTCCATTGTCCATTGCTCGCGCAAATCAATAAATTATTGCAAGCTTAATAAACAAACCGATGAAAAAAATCCAACAATTTTAAAACATGTTAACCTACAAATTGTTGCAAAATTTGAAATCAATTTTTACTGAGTAAAAATATCAAAAAGCTATAAGTAATCAAATTAAAAGCTTTCAAATAATTTTAAAATATCAATTCAGAGTTTGATAACATTTAGGTATTTGAAAATTTAAAAGTTCGAAAAGTGATGTGACTTTTATGTATAATTTAGTATTAGCTATTCGAACAAAGCTTCAGTTAAATATTAAATAGATGAATTATCATTTCGTTATTTCAATATTACAAAAGCGACGATGTATTTTTTTTCGAACTTAAATTTTAAACGTAAAAATTCTAACTTTATTATTAAATATTATATACTATTGTTGAATCGTTCAAATAAATTTACATGGAAAGAATAAAATTATTTGCATAAACGAAAATTTAAAACATAATTGTACATAGGAACAGATTTTAATCTATCAGAAGCTGTGTATTTTGGATTGAAATCTATTATTCCCTATTTCTATTTTCTGTGCTTTTCAATTATGTTTTAGGCTTCAGGTTTTAATAATGCAGAAAATACAATTTTTGAACAGAAGTTGTTGTCGTAATTCTGCCAGAATGACAGCGTTATTGAGCGTTCAATAATTTTTGACATCGTGGAAGAATAACAGCCTGTAAATAGCGACTTGCAGTGTGAATTGGCTGACCAGCTCACGTATCGCGACGAAAACACAATTTAGTCGGCGCCAGAAACTTTCAGCGGTCAGGAACGGGTTGTTATTCGATGTTTTGTCACGAAAAAAGACAGTGAGGGGAGGGGGGAAGGGGAGGGAGGTGGAAGCGAAACGGCGAACGAACTGTTTTGCTACCAGGAAGAAAACAGGACGTATTGAAAATGGAGTGAGAGGCGCCAAGTTGCTCCACAAATTTTCTCGAATAAAATTTCGTTCTCAAACTGTTCAAAATACGCGAAGATTCTATCAAAGAGTCGCGTCGTGTTTCTCGCAATGATTCAATCTTACCGCGCTGAGAATTACGTAATCCCTTCAACATGTGTGACCACAATGATTCGATTTCGAAATATCGTCGGAAACAAGAAGATAATAATTTCTCGCGAATTCAATTTCCGGGGTCAACCGACCCGAAGTGTCGAGATCATGGCAAGAAATGGTTCTCTTGTCGCGTGCGAAACTGGTGATTATAGCTTTTTATCTCGCAGTTACGTCGATTCAGCACCTCGTTGTGGTCGGACTCCGCGAATAGTTTTTTTCGCATCGCTTCACGTCCTTTCTCGCGCCTCGTATTTTCCGTCCGACAATGGCCTGTTAAACGGCGCAACCGCAGACTCGAAACCTCTGTTTACATTGTGATACAGGTGAAACGCTTAACAATTAAATTCTAACAAAAGTCGTGGAAAGTAAGTTTTATTTAGCATTTCGAAAAATGCATGAAAGATAATATCTTTCCTAATACAAAAAAGGATATAATCATGTAATTGTTTTAATTAACTTTAAAATTTTAGAACAGAAGAGAGAACAACAAATATTCTATCTATTATTTTGAATTATTATTATTAACATTATTATCATTAAAATGTTATTTAATCACATTTGATATCTTTTGCTATGAATAAAATTTTTATTAAACTGATCTTAACATTTTTACTTTTTCGCGTGTATTAGTAAACATTTCACGTTGTAATAATAAAAATTACATTTCTACATGTCTAATTGATTTTAATAATTGAATAGAGCAGAAAATTGTAGAAAGACTGGTCTGCTTTTCTTTGAATTACTTCGACTTTCTATCTTTTCGTTTCTTCTTTCTTTATGTACCTTTTATTAACGTTGAGGTATATACTAACAAGCTAAAGATGAAAGCCTTAATTTTTATTTGCGACTGTAAAAACATCTGATAGATAACAAGGAGGCAAGAACATCTTTTGCCAATTATAGCATATAAACTATATGACTTATATTATTCGCTGTTGGAAAGCTTGCTGTAAATCCGACGAGTTCTCAATTAAGCTAACGAAAAGACTTTCAAAATACAAAATACTTTGATACGTTGCATTTCGATCTCCTCGGCAAAGACACGCAAATTAAATCAATGCGGCTAAACTAATTAGCGAATCAAAGTTAAATAAACATTTTAATCTTATCGGGAACT